AGTGCTCGAAGAACTACAGTCTGGTTGGGGAGGTCAGATGAGTAAGTAACTAATAAAAATACGCTTTGACTCCTGTTAGTTCAATAGAAGGTGTTCCTGGGTTCCCATGCCTCCTGTGGGTGGGAATGCACTCACCATGCTGTATTACGAGTGTATGCATTTACCTCCTTATCTAGACTGTGAGCTCTCCAAGGGCGAGCTGTATCTCATTCATTTCTTGGCCTCTAGTTTCTAGTGGAGTGTCTAGCACATAGGGGCTGTTCCATAGATATTTCAGTTTGTTGAATGAGAAATTTGACTGATAATGAGTGAATGTACCCAGGGTCACAGGAGCAGAGAGAAGGGGTATTCAGAAGAGCAGGAGTAGGTGAATTTGGAGCACATTTTTGAAGAGAGACCACGGGCTTGATGGGCAGGCAAGAGAGAAAGGGCATTCCTACAAGGGAAAACGGCGAAGGCAAAGACATAGAGATGTGAGGCTGCATGAGGGGTTAGAGAAAACTTGCCTGGTGAGGCAGGGTTTCAGAAGGGTGTGGGACAGAGAAGAGAGGTGAGTGAAATGCATCCCAACCTCGTAGCTCGCTAGCAGACTGCCGCAAGCTTTGCAGGTCACAGGAGGCCGCATTTCATCTGAGGCTTGTTCCTGCCTCCTGCCCTCCTCTCCCTGAACCCAAACCTGGCTTCTCATGTTCCCTTGCTCATAGTATGCAAACCTTTTGATATTGGCTGAAGGCAGTGCTTCTCAAGCTTTAACAAGAATCACCCGTAGATCTTGTTAACATGTAGATTCGGATTCCTTGGGACTGGGGCCTGTAGTTCTGCCTTTCTCACGAACTTCCAGGTGACACCCATGATGCTGGCCTGGGGACCACACTTTGAGAAGTGAGGCTCTAAGGAAAATAAAGAGGGAGGCTCTCTAGCGCCTCGGTGAGGCATTCCAAAGGTAAAAGGAAGCTACCTTCCTTTGAATTATTTGTAACATCGCTTCTCCCAGCAGGGTAGGTAATTGAGTGCTGTCTAATAAAACCTTCAGTGATAAATAATCCTGGGCACCAATGCCAAAACCACAGGGCTTCACTCCTAAAAAAGTGCATCTTTGACAATGGTGTCTTCATTTGGCAAAACACCTCTTAGAGCTGCTGCTTCCCAGACTTTCACTGGCTCCTAGGGAGGGTTTACTCTTTTGGAGCAAACAGGTGTCTGGAGGCCCAAGTGGGTTGTGGGGAAGTGCCAGGGTAGCTCTCCTCCTGTCTCTCCTTGACTCTGCCTGCTACTGCCCCTCGCCCTCGATTTGGCTCCTCCTGACCCTTGGTCCTCGGGGGTTGGGTTGGACAAAGGCTGTTGTTCTAAGTCTGGACACCTAGTTACTATTTGCTGAATTCTGGATAGAAGCAGAACTGCTGGATCCACTTCTTGCCTCAGGTGCCTCCAAAATAGAGGCTGCTGAACCTAATGTGACACCAAGTGAGACAGGCAAGCAGCTTCCTTCAGTTTCTGGGCCTCACAAGCACCCTCTGCTGCATCAAGAAAAAAGAGGAGGCCGGCTACATCAAACCAAAAATCTCTGGCAACTGGGCAGGGCTGACACGTGTCTGCGGCAGCATGGATGGCTGTGCTGCAGACTGGGACCTGGCAGTGCACGCCTGAGCTGGAGCTGAGGCCCAGCTTGTGGCAGTCCACCCCTCAGGGCACAGCTGTGAGCTGCTGAGAGTGGGGTGGACTTTAGAGCTTGAGGGCACTGGGGATGAGGCCAGGCACGGCCACTGAAAGACACTTTTCTTCCCAGGCTGCCCTGCCTCTCCGTCCCTGCAATTCTGCCCTATGGGCCCTGTGCTCTGTGAATGGGCCAGCCAGAGCCAGACCCTAGGAGTGGGACAGAGGTACCTGGGGACAGAGTCTGTGTGTGATATGGGCAGGGACAACCACAAACGGCTCTTAGACTACCCACCCGTCTGCCTTCTGGCAACTCTGCCTCAAAGCTCTGGCCCCCTGCTCCGCCCCAGCCTAGAACAGCTTGAGAGGCTGTGGCAGGATTTCATTTCCTCCACAATGTCAACTGTCCCCCCTTCCCTCTCCAGATTCATTAATTCATGCAGGTGTGCCCCTGTGCAGTCATTCACCTCCTGCCGACGGAGTGTCTGCTCTGAGCCAGGCACTGCGCTGGACTCCCACTGTTCCTCCATGGCTTGCCTCTTAGCCCTTGCTTGTATGTTACCTGCAGAGGCTAATTGCTTCATCTGTCTTGCTGGTCTTCTCTTCCTGGTGCCTTTCTAGACAACCTGGGTGTAGCAGGTAGCTCCACGTCTCCTTCCCTTGGTGCTAAGTGATGTGGAATGCTGGAGAGATCCAGGGTTTCACGAAGACCTCGTTTTGAATCTGACTCTGGCCTTAAACTCCCAAACGTAAATTTGGGTAGGCTGAACCAATAAGCCTCTGTTTTCTCATACGCCATTAAAAAAAAAGAATAGGCCAGGTGCAGTGGCTCATGCCTGTAATCCCAGCACTTTGGGAGGCTGAGGTAAGCAGATAACCTGAGGTCAGGAGTTCAACACCAGCCTGGCCAACATTGTGAAACCCTGTCTCTGCTAAAATCCAAAAATTAGCCAGGCATGACAGCAGGTGCCTGTAATCCCAGCTACTCAGGAGGCTGACACGAGAAAATCACTTGAACCTGAAAGATGGTGTTTGCAGTGAGCTGAGATTGTACCACTACACTCCAGCCTAGGTGGCTGTGCAAGACTCCATCTCGAAAAAAATAATAATAATAAAGGCCAGGCACAGTGGCTCACATTTGTAATCCCAGCACTTTGGGAGGCTGAGGCAGGCAGATCACTGGAGGTCAGGAGTTTGAGACCAGCCTGGCCAACATGGCGAAACCCTGTCCCTACTAAAAATAAAAAATTAGCTTGGCGTGGTTGTGGGAGCCTGTAATCACAGCTACTCAGGAGGCTGAGGCAGAAGAATCACTTGAACCTGGGAGGCAGAGGTTGCAGTGAGCCAAGATCAGGTTACTGGGCTCTGGGCCACAGAGTGAGACGGAAAAAAAAAAAAAAAAAAAAGAAACCACCTATTCCAGGGTTAAGATTAAACTGAGATATCACAGGCTGGGTTCGGTGGCTCATGCCCGTAATCCCAGAACTTTGGGAGGCTGAGGCAGGTGGAGCACCTGAGGCCAGGAGTTCGAGACCAGCCTGGCCAACATGGTAAAACCCTGTCTCTACAAATACAAAAAAATTTGCCGCATGTGGTGGCATGTGCATGTAGTTCCAGCTATTCTGGAGGCTGAGACGCAAGAATTGGTTGAACCCAGGAGGCAGAGGTTGCAGTGAGCTGAGATTTTGCCACTACCCTCCAGCCTAGGTGACAGAGTGAGACCCTGTCTAAAAAAATAAAAATGAAAATAATTGAGATATCACATGTAGAGTGGCACAGAGTTAATGCTCAAAATATTCGTTGCTCCTTGTTTGGTACACAAAGCGCCCGTCACAAGTGCAGGTGATTGCTGCTTGAGAATCTCCGCTCTACTTAACTGTCTCCCCAGAAGTGTGGGGATCATCTCTGCTTAGGGCCACCTTGGACTCCACCCCCTAAGTCCTCCTGCTTCTGACATTTGCTTGTTTTTTTCTTTCTTCTTCAAAAGAAAAATGTTTTAAACATACACAAAAGAAGAGAGACTATATGACAAGCCCTTTGCAGGAGTCTGGAGTGCATCGCCAGCTGGTTTCAACTATCATCCAGTCTGGGGCTACATATTCTCCCATCTCTTTTGTTCTTTGAATATCTTTTTTTTTTTTGAGATGGAGTCTTGCTCTGTGGACCAGGCTGGAGTGCAGTGGTATGATCTCGGCTCACTACAACCTCTGCCTCCTGAGTTCAAGCAATTCTCCTGCCCTAGTCCCCGCAAGTAGCTGAGATTACAGGCACACGCCACCACACCAGGCTAATTTTTGTATTTTTAGCAGAGACGGGGTTTCACCATGTTGGCCAGGCTGGCCCCGAACTCCTGACCTCAGGTGATATGCCTGGATCAGCCTCCTAAAGTGCCGGGATTACTGGTGTGAGCCACCGTGCCTGGCTTCTTTGAATATCTTAAAGCAGATCCAGTCATCATATTATTTCACCTATAAACACACCAATGTGTGTCTTTAACAGATAAAGATGATAAAGAACAAAACCACATTTTATCACACCGACTAAATTAAGAATGATTCATTAATAAAATCTAATATGTAGTCCAAATGTAACTTTTCTCAATTGTCTCAAAAAGTTTTCTTTCCTGTTGATTTGTCTGAATCAGGTTTCTCCAAAGGCTCGTGTTACATTCGATTGTAAGATCTCTTAGGTATTCTTATATCAGCCTGCTTCAACATGGTCTGTTTCAGTGGAAACTCTAGTATGAGGAAATCATTACTTCCTGGAAGTTTCTCCAACTCACCTTCCAGAACCTTCTCAATAACACAACACAAGCATCTCCTTTTTTTTTAGGGTTTTTTTTTTTTTTTTTCTTTTGAGACAGGGCCAAGGCTGGAGCGCAGTGCTGTAGCTGGGACTTCAGGCACGCCACATCACTCCTGTCTAGATTTTGTATTTTTAGTAGAGAGGGGTTTGCCATGTTGCCCAGGCTGGTCTTGAACTCCTGGATTCAGGCGATCCATCTGGCCTCCCAAAGTGCTGGGATTAAAAGTGTGAGCCACTGCACCAGCCTGGGGGTGTTTTTGAATGACAAGAAGTGTTCCCCCTTTACAGAATCTTTCAAATAAATGGATTCCTCTAATAGCTTTCAAAATCCAACAGTCATCCCAGTGAAGTCAAAACACAGGGTTTGTATTATTTCTTATTTTAGAGGGTAAAAATTTCTGGGATTTTATTCTTTTCAAAGCGAATTTCTTGTTTTAGAGGGTAAAAATTTCTGGGATTTTGTTCTTTTCAAAGAGACTTTTTTTATGCCCTCCCACCTGCTTTTTGAAATCCACCAACCACAATATTTACCCCAACCCCTTTTCTCCCCCCACCATCTCTCTCTCTGCTTTACACACTCCCTCTCTCTCTCTTTTTAGCAGCAACATACAAGCCGGCCATATTAGAGAGATGGAAATAAAGCTTCCTTAATGTTGTATATGTCTTTGAAGTACATCCGTGCATTTTTTTTTAGCATCCAACCATTCCTCCCCTGTAGTCCTCGCCCCCTCAAATCACCCTCTCCCGTAGCCCACCCGACTAACATCTCAGTCTCTGAAAATGCACAGAGATGCCTGGCTACCTCGCCCTGCCTTCAGTCTCACGGGGCTCAGTCTCTTTTTCTCTTTGGGTAAGTTAGACTCACATCTGCATGCTCCCGAGGGTTCAGAAGTGTAGCCGCACCGTGAAGAGGATGGGGGCAGGGGACAGGAAAGAAGACATTGCTAGCGCTTCCCTCTGTGTCCTTGGGGACTGGAAGGGTCGCTGCTGGGGACTGCAGAACCCTGGGACTACTTGGTCACAGAAATGCTGGGTCAGGGTATCTGAGTGTTGCTGGGGGCTGACCACTGTCAAGGAAGGTGAATCCGCTCTGGAAGTTCCCTAAGTGGACCTACGTGGGGGCGGGGCAGAGAGTGGATGGATCTGCGGTCTCTCCAGGGATTTTTGTTGTTGTTGTTGTTTGTTGCCGCAAATGTGGGGTACTGGGACTTACTGCTCCCCAAAGGGGCTTCTTTTCGGAACCTTGATCCTGGTGGATTTCAGGTATTAGGGGAGTGTGTGGGGGAGCTCGAGGTAGAAAGTTGAGTCTGGGTCTGGCTTCCTGGCACTCAGTCCCACTGATCTGTTGGAACGTGTGTGGGAGTAGGTGGGAAGCGGCCTGGGAAATGATATCTGGGTAGGGAGGAGACCTGCTGAGGCATGCACTGATGGAGAAGGCACCTTTGGCTTGGGCCCGGTGGAATGGAAGAGGGGCCAGGTGTAGAGATTCAGGAAAAATTGGAACCCATGGGCTGAGCAAGGTTGTGGCCCTTTAAATCCAGCCTCAGAACTGCCCAGCCCAGTCTTGCACACTGTCCTGTCAAGTGGCCCCAAATGTTAATTTCATATTTGACCACTCAGAGTCTTCCTGGTGTGGAGGTGGGCTAGAAAGTTATTTGCAAGCCTGCTTTGTAGAGTTTCATTCTTGCTCCTAAACTTACTCATTGCTGGAGCAGCCGCTGAGAGTCAGTCCAAGGACGGTTGATGGGGATATTCCCTATCACAAAGCCTCTTTCTTTCTGTGGCGTGATGCGCTGGGTTTGGGGTTGGATTCTAACCACAGACAGTGCGGATGCCCTGCCAGCCTGCTTTGCTGAGTTACTTGGCATAGTAACATCAGAGCAGGACCTGGGTTTCAAGCTACCTTTGTCATTTACGTAATGACCACAGGCAAGTTACTCAACCCCTCCCAGCTTCAGTTCTCTCCCAGGTAAACTAAAGAATGCCTACTGCCTGGCGTGTCTGTGATCCGGTACACGGCAGGAACTCAGCAATGGCTAACTTCAGATGCTTCCATGGGCCCACGAGCTGTGTATGTTGTTTAGCCCTCACAGCCATGGACTGAGGTAGATTCTATTACACTCAGGTTACAGGGAGGAACAGGCATAGAGAAGATACGTAAGTTGCCCAATAAGGTTGCCTGACTACTGTAAGGGGAGCTGAGATTTGAACTCCCTGTGTCAGATTTCAGCACATTCTCTTAAACGTTGGATTCCACTGCCCCCAATGTTCAAGAAATGGCCTTGCTGTATTAACAATACCTTGACAGAGTCTCAGGACAGGCTGAAAGAGGGGGAGTCGGCGAGTGGCCTGTTGTAAGGAGCCCCAGCTGGGAAACAGGCCTCCTGCCTCAGGATGTAGGAAGTGCTTCCTGCAGGAGGGAAGCCATCTGGTGAGAGCCTTAGCTAAGTAAAGATAGAAAAGGGGTTCAGTGACCAGGACCTGGAGCCCTGGGCTAGGGCACAGTCTAGGGGAAGATGGAGCCTGGGATGAAGAGGTCTGAGTATTGGGGCTGGGAGTTGGTGCTGGGAAGAAGCTAAGCTTCTGCAAACCTGAGTGGGAGAGGATGCAGGAATGGGGACCTTGAACTTGAACTTGATTGGAGCCGTGATGAAGCATGCCCCTGGCACTCCAAGGCTGAGGGCTGAGTTGACAAGGGAACTTTGGTAGTGTTGCAATAGCATCGATTCCCAGGACAGAGGATTCCACGGAGGGAAGGGACTGTGTCGGGGCTGGGCTTGTGAGAATGACTGTGGAGGCGGCAAAGAGAAAGGGCAGGTGGGCCACTGGCTCCACCCTAGACAGAAGCATATGAGGCTAGTTTTAGCTAGAAACAATTCAAGTGATTGGACTTCCCTCAAGTTTTCCTTGAGACTGTTGACTCCATAGTCACTGGCTTGGTTATCAAAGGTATGGATTATGTTAGGGGAGGCATAGAAAGTGGAGTCTGGGCTGAGAACAGTGGCTCACACCTGTATCCCAGCACTTTGGGAGGCCGAGGTGGGAGGACTGCTTGAGGCCAGGAGTTGGGGACCAGGGTGGGCAACATAGCAAGACCCTGTTTCTACAAAAAAGAAAAAAGAAAGAAAAGAAAAAAAAGAAAAATGAGTCAGGCATAATGTCATGTGCCTGTAGTCCTAACTGCTCCAGGAAGCTGAGGTAGGAGTTATCAAGAGTTCGAAGCTGCAGTGAGCTGTGATCACTCCACAGTATTCCAGCATAGGCAACAGAGCCAGACCTTGCCTCAAAGAAAAAAAAAAAAAAGGAAGAAAGTGAAGTCCAGTCCTCATTCTCCTCCACTGCACATATCTGCTGCTTGGGGCTGCAGGGACCCAGACATGGAAAGAAAGCTGTGTTTTCTTCCTTCAGAAGACTTTACTGAGTCCTCACTCCGTGTCATATACTGTCCTGAGTGCCAGGGACACCAAGATGAATAAGAATCAGTTCTCCAGAGCCTCTTGAGGAAAACAAATAATAACAGAGCATTGTATGTGTGGTAACAATAACAGCAATAATGAAAATCACAGTTGCAGCTAGCTTTGGTCCAGGCTGTGTGCTGGGCGCCGTGCTGAGCTTCATACAGGTAGTAAGTCATTTCATCCCTATACAGCCCTATGCAGTTGGGCTCTTATTGTCCCCTCTATTACAAATGAGGAAACAGAGTCTCTGGGAGGTTAACTATCCTGCCATTCTGCCCTCAAGTCACGTGGAAGAGATAGGAACAGGCTTGGGGTGAGGACAAGGACACTGGGGAGAATCACTGAGGCTATGCCCTGTGAGCTGGGACCTGAAGGATAAGTAAGAAGGTCCCAGGGGCAGGAGGGCCAATGAGCTTCCCAGCCAGAAGCAAAATATGTGCAAAGGCATAGAGGAGGGAAGGAAGGTGGTGTTTTCACAAAAATCAGAACTGAGGGTCACTGGAGTGAAGGGGATCTGGGGAGACGGGGGCTGGCAGGAGATGAGGCTAGTGTATAGGTTGTTCCCAGATGGCAAAGGGCTTGGAAGCTGTGCCCAGGAGCCTGGACTCAATCCTGAAAGCAGTGGGTAGGTGTTGGAGGTGAAGAGTGATGAGGGCAGGTTGCTCCTGGATGCCCGGGGGGGGGACTGGAGCGGCTGGGTCTGGGGAGACCCTGGAGCAGGATAGGTCTGGATGCTAAGGCAGCGCAGGTGCGGATATATGGGCTGGATATACTCACCTGGGAGGCAGGGGCTGCCCTGGGAGACACTTTTGGTGTCTAAACTGCCCTGTTTACGCACTTCTTTTTTTAACCAAGAAGAAAATAATTACCTCATAAGTTGCTGTAAAGTGGAAAGAGGAGTGAAGAGATTAACTTCCAGTCTCTGCAAGAGACAGTATTTGGCAGATGAGCAAATGTTCACAGTCTCTGCAAGGTGGGCCAGTTAGAACAGTGGATGACACCAGGCCTGAGGGGTCCAGATGTGCCTTGGAGACACCGGGGGTGGGCAGCAGGCAATGCTGAGATTTTGGATCTAAGATCAAAAGCCACAGCCTGTTGATGATTATTTCCCTTCTGTGAGTTGAAAGTCAGGAGACACGGGTCCCAGACCCGGCCTCAAATGGGATGACCAGGAAGATTGTGGGTCCCCCCCCAACTTTATATGGAGGTTCCTTTAAATGGGTCCATTCCTTGCTGGCCGGCCTGCCTGGAGTTGGACCTGCCGTGTAGTCGGCAGGAGATCTGGTCCCCTGATGCTATGGAATGGGGATCACTTCCCCACTCAGCTTCAACGCGTCAGCCTTGTCTGCAGCCTGGCTTCGGATTCAAGCTTCGCCTCTTCCTAGCGGTGAACTTGGGCTCTTCCCATAACTTCTTTGTGCTCCGTCTTCCTCATCCGGAATGTAGGAGGGATAACAGCGTTTTGTGAGCATTAAATGAGCTGATACACATAGAGTATTAAACAGTGCCTGGCTCGTTGTAAGCATTTTATAAGGGTTTGTGATTATGATGAAGTCCTTTCTGTGGCCCTGGCCGTGCATTCGGGTGCTTTCCCGAAGCAGGAGAGTTAATCAAGGGACCAGAGTTTTGCTCTCAGCTCTGACCTTGTTGAGCCATGGTCCCCTCACATTTAATGAGGGTCCCGGACTGGCGGAAGGTCTGAGGCCGAGCAGCCTAGAGCTGCTGGGATTCCGGTGAGGCCACAGGCTCACGTGGAGGTCTTGGATTGGGGGCCAGGAACCATGACTCTGGCCTCAGCTTGTCCCTATTCTCTGCGTGTGGCTCTCATGGCCTCCCTTTCCTCACCGGTAAAACAATGGGGCTAGACCTACGGTTTCTGATCTCAGCTCCAAGCTCTGGCTTTCTCTGGTTTGGGGATCCTCCCGGCTTGCTCCGCAGGATGAAACTTGACGTTTGACCTCTGTGACCACTAGAGGGCACGCGTGTTCCGCCCGGTGCCTTCTGCAGTGCCTTCTGCAGTGTCGCGCTGCAGGGTGGGGAGCCTGAGCCCGCATTGCACCTCTCCGGCTGCCCCAGTCCTGCCGGCCAAAAAGGCGCCCCCGCACTCCTTTCTATCCTGCCCTCCCCCACTGCAGGGTGCTAGTTCCTTCGAGATGATGGGGTTCAAGTTCTAATCTGGAGCGGAGCCTTGAGCTTGGTGTGGGGCAGAGGCCCGCACAGGGTCAGCCCGGCGTCGCAGAACGCTGACTGTTTGGCCTGGGGAGCCCTTGGGAAGGTGACCGACCTTCCAAGGGAAGGGCCAGAGGGGCAGGACAGTCCTGGGATGGGAGGTAAGCTCAGGACAAGCACTGTCAGTGCCTTCCCTCAGAGTTCTGGGCCTTTGCAGATGAGGGTGCTGTTGGCATTTTCTGCACACCTCCTTCCTGGCTGGTGCGGTGCCAGATGCTTTCCGATGAAAGTGCAGGAGATAGAATTGGGCTTTGTTCTTCCTGGCAGGGGCCCACTCAGCCTCCCCAGTCGAACTCCCCTAACTAGCACTTAAGCTTACACCTGGAATCCTCTGCTCTGGGCTCCTCCTCTAGAAAACGCAGATGGTGACACTTGTCTCCCAGGTTGGAGGACAGGTGAGGTCCCCATCCCTACCCCCCAATCCAGGGCTGTTGCCAGTTCAGAGAATCTCCGGTTCTTAAGTCCTGCCACTTGCCCTGGTCGCTGGGCCCAGGGGCTGGGCTGGCAGAAGGATGCTCCAGGCAGACGTTGATTCCCTTGCACGCAGGCTGCAGGACTGGGGCTTCCGGGGTGGGGCCCTGCAGCTTTGTGCAAAAAAAAAAAAAAAAAAAGCCAGTTTGAAAAATAGGAGCCCTGCAGGCCTGGTGCTGTTGCCAATTCCTATGGACTAGCTGGAGGGGGGCAGTCTCCAAGGTGCCCTCAGGCCAGGCCAGAGGCTCTTCTAGAAACCCTTCCTGTTTACAAGGCAAACGGGGAGAATGGAGGATAACAGCAGCTACCATTTGCTTATTTTCTGCTTATTTTCATTATCAAGACAACCCTGGGAGATAGGTGTCACCATCTGCATTTTACAAAGGAGCAGCCCTCACTCTCCCAGCTTCTGATGCCAGAGCTGGGATTGAACCCAAGTCTGGTTGCATCCCCTTGTCTATGCTGTTCCCACATCAGCCACTACCAGGCTGGACAGCCTCCCAGCAGCTCCCACACTCCCCAACCCTGCAGCGACTTCCTATCATACACCAAGAGTAAACTAATTCCGCATCCTGGCCCACAAGCCTCTGTGAGCTGGTCCATGCCTAACACTTGGGCCTCAAGTCTCACCATGCACCCCCTCGCTCACTCTGCTCCCTCTGCCTCAGGCACACGAAACTCCTCCCAGCCACTGGGTCTTGGCCCCTGGGAGTACCCCTGTCTGGGAGCTTGGCTCCCTCAAAACCTCAACGGGCTCACTCCCTCCCTCATTTCAGAGGGGCACAGAGCCGTCTTCCCTGCCCACCCGACATCAAACAGTGCCCCCCTACCTTGCCATGGATCTCTATCTAAAATTCCATGATGTTTTTCCTTGTTGATGTCTCTGCTTCTCCCCACAATACAAGCTTCATGATGCAGTGCCCTGCCTGTCGTGTTCACAGCAGTAACCCCCAGGGCCTAGACTGAGTGCCAGGCACACAGTCGGTGATTTATAAACATTTGGTGAATGAGTGAGTGAACGGTGCTGAACACTGCTGTTTAGCTTCCATAAAGAAAAGGAATCTTCTGAGACAAGGTTTTTGATGATACAGGCAGAGCATCTTGGTCTCAGGTGAGTCCAGTGAGGTGCCTGGTGTGACATTTAAGAAGGTATTTCCATGACCAGAGAGTGAATACCCCTTAAGTGTCGTGCCCCAGGCCCCTCGCTCACCTCCCTGTGGGCTCTCTCCCAAATTTCACAGCGGGACAGGCCTTTCTCAGCCCCAGCACCAAGGGCCTGTGTCTGGTTTTCCTAATGGGACTCCACAGAACCAGCAGCTCCCACCCTGCCTGCCTGTGGCAGCTCCTTGCTGGGGTGTCTCTCAGACATCTCTGAGAGGGACTCCTGTCCCTGCAGACCCATCAGTTGGTCCTTGGAATAGTGCCTTTTCTTCTGGGGCACCTCTTCCCCCACAGCTTGTCTGCCCTCTTTCCTGTCTGTCACAAGCCTGAGGAAGGTAGGGGGCTGGGCTGGGCTGGGCCGGGCCACAGCTTTGTTCTTCCCCTGGGATATGGAGATCGAGGCCTTCCAAATCTCCAGCTGTTTCCAGACTGCTGTCCTGAGAACAGAACTGCGGGAGCCCTGCAGTTTCAGCTGGAAGGGGAAGGGCTTTGGCCGAGCAAAGGTGTTTAGAAGTGGTGAGAATAAGGGGGAAACCGAGGCAAGCATAGTGATCCCCTTGTCCATGGTCTTCTGCTAGCATGTGACAGAACTGGGGCAAGTGCTGGGGTGTCACCCAACAGTGTTTCTAGAAAACGCTGGGGCCATTTGGCTGCCCCTGGCTTGACAGATAGATGATGTGATGATTTGGTCCCTCTCCTCCCCTACCTGCTCTGCCACCTCATTTTGCCCCAAAGACCACATCTGGTGTCCCAAGTGCCTGCCCACTCCAGGAGTACAAACTGGGGAGGTTGAGTGGGCCCCGGCCAGGAAGAACAAAGCCCAATTCCTTGCGGCTTGCACCTGTACTCCCAGCTACTCGGGAAGCTGAGGTCATGATTGCATCACTGCACTCCAGCTTGGGCAACAGAGTGATACCCTCTTGCAAATAACAATAACTCCCACCTCCTGACTAACTGGAGCTGTCAAGGACCCAGTTCCCTGCCTGTAGCTCCGTGCTGCCTCATCCCCCGACACCCCCCAGGCACAGAGGGCTTGGCCCTCCCCAGCCCTTTCAGCCAGACTCCTCACCAGCTTGTGGCTTCATCTGCAGTGCCATCAGGACAGAGCATGGAGGTCACAGTACCTCCCATCCTCAACGTCCTCAATGGCTCTGACGCCCGCCTGCCCTGCACCTTCAACTCCTGCTACAAGGTAAACCACAAGCAGTTCTCCCTGAACTGGACTTACCAGCAGTGCAACAACTGCTCGGAGGAGATGGTGAGTCCTGTGCTGGAGGCGGGGCTGGGGGAGGAGGCAGGAGCCCCGCAGCACGAAGCCCCCTCGTCCCACCACTGGCCCCTGCACTGAACCAGGGCCCCAGAGGACCCTGGGTGGGCTGTGTGCTCTGGAGGCTTTGACACAGGTGTGCTGCACACCACAGGTGCCCCCTGGAGGTAACTGCTTCTCTTCCCCCAAAAAAGAGTGGATGGGGGCATCCCCACTGTCCTTGTAGTTCCTTGCTCATCCAGCCGCCCGTCCTGTCCCTTGCCCTGTCCCCAGTTCCTCCAGTTCCGCATGAAGATCATTAACCTGAAGCTGGAGCGGTTTCAAGACCGCGTGGAGTTCTCGGGGAACCCCAGCAAGTACGATGTGTCCGTGATGCTGAGAAACGTGCAGCTGGAGGACAAGGGCATTTACAACTGCTACGTCATGAACCCACCCGACCGCCACCGTGGCCACGGCAAGATTCACCTGGAGGTCATTATGGAAGGTGAGGGCTGGGGTGCCGGCTGCGGGGCCCTGATCTTTCCCAGCCACTTGCTCTCCACAGCATTAGCTCAGGGCACTTTGGGGAGGCCGTGCCCTCCTGAGGGTGGGAGCAAACTGTGCTGCATAGAAAGCATCCATTTTCTTCCCTCTAGTCCTCAAGGACCTGGGAACATGTCCCAGAGAGTCCAGGTAATGATATAGACTATGATCCTGCTCTTAAGGATGGGGTGGGGTTTGGTGGTTCACACCTGTAATCACAGCACTTTGGGAGGCTGAGGCAGGCAGATCGCTTGAGCTCAGGAGTTCGAGACCAGCCTGGGCAATATGGCAAAACCTCATCTCTACAGAAAATGCAAAAATTAGCTGGGCATGGTGGCTTGCACCCGTACTCCCAGCTATTTGGGAGGCCGAGGTGAGAGAATCACCTGAACCCAGCAGGTCAAGGCTGCAGTGAATCATGATTGCACCACTGCACTCTAGCTTGGGCAACAGAGTGAGACCCTGTTTCAAATGACAACAGCAATAATGACAGCGATGAGGGCCGCTCTCAATTATCAGGTACTTCTATGTCTCAGCCATCGGGCTAAGGTCTGTTTATGCATTATCTTTTCCTCATAAAAACATTATGAGGGAGGTACTATTATTATCCCCATTTCACAGGTTACAAAACTGAGGTTAGACAGGCTAAGTTACCTAAGGTCACACAATTCATAAGTTGTACAATTAGGACTCAAATTTGGGTCTGTTTGATCTTAAAGTTCATGCTTTTAAATACTTTATCACCCTTCCTCCTCTGAGGGCTTTGGGTATCTTGGGATTTGGGGGCAGGGGCGCTTCAGGGTCAGTCACCTGGATTGCTTTTTGGCTTTGCTAACGTCCTGTCAGTGGAGGAGAGGAAAGTCAGGATGGCTTCACGCATGCCACAGGGTAGTGGGGTCGGGGAGGAGGCACCTTTCCTGGCCCTGGTGCTCAGTGGCTCTGCTTCCTTTCCAGAGCCCCCTGAGCGGGACTCCACCGTGGCCGTGATTGTGGGTGCCTCTGTCGGGGGCTTCCTGGCTGTGGTCATCTTGGTGCTGGTGGTGGTCAAGTGCGTGAGGAGAAAAAAGGAGCAGAAGCTGAGCACAGATGACCTGAAGACCGAGGAGGAGGGCAAGACGGACGGCGAGGGCAATGCAGATGATGGCGCCAAGTAGTGGGTGGGTGGCCCTGCAGCCCCCGCGTCCCGTCTCCTTCCAATCCGTCCTGTACAGTGACCCTGCCTGCCCGCTCTTGGTGTGCGTCCCGTGGCCTAGGACCCCAGGGCCTATCTGTGGCCTCCTGAACCCCCCACTTTCTATCTCCCGCCCTGCACCAAGAGTGACCCACTCTCTTCCATCTGAGAAGCCTGCCATGCTCTGGGACGTGTGGGCCCTGGTGAGAGAAGAGAAGGGGCTCCCACCTGTCAGTCCCTGGGAGGAGGCAGGAGACATGTGTGAAGGTCCCCAGAGAGAAGGGAGTGGGTGGGCAGAGGTGGAGGAGGGGGCCGCTGTCCACCTGCCCAGTGCTTGGCCTGGCAGTGGCTTCAGAGAGGACCTGGTAGGGAGAGAGGGCTTTCCTGTGCTGACAGAGCTCCCTCAGGAGGGCCTTGGCCCGGCACAGCTGTGCTCCTCCCCTGCTCCTAGCCCAGAGCAGCCGTCAGGCTGGAGGTGACAATGAGTTCCTGAAACTTGGAAGGGCATGTTAAAGGGGTGACTGTGCATTCCAGGGCACTGAAGGAAAGCTGGGGCTGCGGGCAAGGCTGGACATGAGCCTTGGCCCAGGAGGCCATGCCGGGCCCTTGTTTCCATTGCCAGTGGCCTCCTTGGGTCTCCCATTGGCTCCTAATCCCTTGGGACTCTGGATGAGGCCAGAACTCGAAGAGCAGCTCCAGGTAGGGGGCCATGTTCCACGGCGGGGTACCCACCAACAGAGGCCAGTTTCAAAGTCAGCCAAGGGGCTGAGGGGTGAGCTCCATGGTGAATGGAGGTTGCTACAGGCTCTACCTTCTCCATGGTGTGACTAACCTCACTGGGAAGGGGCAGCCAAGGATGGGAAATGAGGAGACCAAGCACAGGGTGGGGAAGCTTTATCTGGGGCTTCAGTGACAACTCTCCCAGTTCCCCTCAGTAGGGTTTCCACCTGGCTTTTGGCTACAGAGGGAAGGGAACGCCTGAGGCTGGCATGAGGGAGGCCTTGGAGCCTGAGACCCCAACGTCCACCCTCCTCTCCCAACAACTCCCTTTGTGGGGACAAAAGTGGCAATTGTGGGCCAGGCACAGTGGCTCACGCCTGTAATTCCAGCACTTTGGGAGGCCAAGGTGGGTGGATCACCTGAGGTCAGGAGTTCAAGACCAGCCTGGCCAACATGGCAAAATCCATCTCTACTAAAAATACAAAAGTTAGTCAGGTGTGGTGCATGCCTGTAATCCCAACCACTTGGGAGGCTAAGGGAGAATTGCTTGAGCCCAGGAAGTAGAGGTTGCAATGAACCAAGATCGCGCCACTGCAAGCCAGCCTGGGTGACAGAGAGACTCCATCTCAAAAAAAAGTGGCAATTGTGGGGAGCTGACCATCACTGCCATTACACTCACATTCAATGGAAATCGATTAGGCCTGAGAGAAGGAGCAAGAGACAGAAACACTGACCCTGAGAACATGACCTTGGAAGACCCTCAGAGATCAACTAGCCAAGTCACTCATTTACAGATGGGGAAACTGAGGTTCCAACAGGCAGAAACAGGGTCCTGCCCTCTTCTCTGGCTCCTCGGTCTCCAGTTTGGATCAACAGAGCCATCATTTTCCCAGTGGGATGGGCTTCTGGGACCTGGTCCTTGATGGGGTGAGGTGGAGGGATGGGCTCCTTTAGCCCTGCCCCTCTCCCAGGAGCCCAGCCCCTGTAACCGGGACTGAGGAGGATTGGAGGGAAGCAAGGAGGGAGGGAGCCAGAGTGTGAAGGGCGCAGCTGCTGGCAATGCCCCATTCCCTGCTCCAGCACTTCCCAGCCTTTCCAGGAGCTCAGCCCCACCCCTGCTCAGGGAGTCAGGTGCCCAGGGAGTCAGGTGCCCAGGGTAGGGAATAGGTCTGAGGAAAGGGGGTGGAGGCAGGACCGTGACAGTCTCAGGGACCAATCCCTGCCTCTTCCCCTCACATGGCCAATTTGGGGAGAGAGAAATATCGTCTAGGAGATTCAGCTTAATTTGCTTCGATTCAGCAACCATTTATTGAGCATCTATTATGTGCCAGGCACTGTGCAGGGCACCGGGGATATACACAAAGCCATAAGCATTGGGGACTGCCAGGTCAGCACTGTAGGGACCAAGATTAACTTTTTGGTGCATCTAATTCCACCTCTGCAAGACGCCGCTTCCAAGGCTACAGTTGGGGAAGATGAAGAGATTCTAGAATCTGAGCCCTGGGAAGGGAGACACAGCAGGGAAGAGGGGCGATACAACAGGGTCAAGGGTACAGAGGCCAGGCAGAGTGGGTGCAGAGTGGGGCATGGGCAAGCAGCCTGGTAACACCTGTGTGAGGTGAGTGAGTCAAGCCCATCTGGAAATGCTAAACTCATCAGCTCAGTACCTAACTGCCAATCAACACACTGCCAACAGGGGTGGGCTAAGCTACAGGGATGCCTGCAGCGGACAGACGCTGCCCATCCTCGAGCCTGCCAGCTGGGGGCAGAGAGGTGGGTGGTGAGCATGTCATGCCAGCCGGGCCAAGATTGGTTGTCTACATTTCTGCAGCTTGCAGATTTTGTTTTTTTGGTCACGCTTTAAGTGTCCTTCTCTCCCAGGATGAGTGAGGATCTGTGCTGATGTTGGGATCTTATCTTTGTCCAGAATCCATTAATTTTTAGGGGAATTATTTGCAGGCTTTCCTAGTGTATTCTGAGAAGTTCTAACTCTCCATCAAGAAGCCCAAGATTTCTGGAGTTCTTTTTTTTCCTCTGCCCTGACCAACTGGGGCCCAGGGAAAGCAATGTCTCTTCAGGGGCCTCATGGCCCAGGCAGATGGGGCTGGGTCAGGAGCCATCTCTGCCCCAGGTGCTCTGTCCTCGTATGCATTTTCTTCTGGAGCCTCTTAGAATCTCCTCCAGAGGATTCAGGGCTGCCTCCCCCAGGGCAGTGAGGTTGGGAGCAAAATGGGGCTTCTGTAAGTAGAGGTGGAAAACCAGTGAGATGTTTCCACAGCGGCCATTTCCACAGCTACCCTGCTTCCTAACTTACGCTGAAAAGTTCCTCCTCTTCCTACCGTGGGGCTTGATCCCGGCTTCTGGCTGCAGGTTCCCACCACTAAGCTCTGCTGGTTTCAGTCTGCTGACTCTCTCAACTGCTCCAGCCTCTCCTGCTCTCTCAGCACCTCACCCCACCCCCATCTGTCTCTTCCTCCTAATTAAGGGCCACTGCACAGAGAGACGGGCTGGCTAACCCATGGGATTTAGCTTATAAGAACAAAGCACAATTTTTCAGGACTGAAATGCCTTGAGGTGCCTTGGAACTGGCTTTGGAAATTGCTATCTGCCTCCTAGCTATGGACTCATCACAGTTAGTTCCAGTTTATAAAAAGGAAAAGCTGATGGGATCCATATTTCTCTCTGCGAGTCTCCTTGGGGAGGTTGGACTGGTAAATATTTACAAGGTCAGGTTAAGCAGACAGACAATTGAAAATACTGGGCAGGTCCAAAAGGACAGTCCCAGGCCATAGGAATGGCTTGGTGCAGTTCACGGGTGATGAAGCAAGAAATCTTCCTTCCTACTTATGTCTTAAGGATGGGCAGCCTGTGTCTCTTGCTGTGCCTCTTGCTGGCGTCTTCCTTTATTGAAGCTTGCTGATGCACTGTACATAGTCTCTATAGGTATAGCTATATTATATAACAAATATCAAGCATCTTGCCACACCCACCCCAAAAGTTACACTGTGTGTGTGTGTGTGCGTGTGCGCGTGCGTGTGTGTGTGGACATGTAATCACTTCTCAGTGTTTTGAGTTGATTCACCAAAGGCAAATTTTGGAATGTTCTTGCACTTCGTGCACTTGGAGGGGAAAACCCAACTACTTACGCACTTTCTCGGTTGTGAGTGCTGTAGAGAGGCTGGAAGGGGTGGTTGGAAGGGGAGAGACGCTGAGACTGCCCTCTATGACCCGGCTGCTGGATGTATCTGCTTTTGGGAGCAGACTGACTTTTTTTTTGCACTTTGTCTTATTGTTTGGGTCTACTGGCAACAATAAACTGTCTCCCCTGAAAATCCCTCGAGTGTGGCTTTATTCAGGGGTGCAGGGCAGGGTAGGCTGAAGCTTCGCCAGGATCTTGACTGGAACCCTAGGTGTTCTTTTCCTGGTAATCCCATCGGCGCTGCCCGATCTCCAGCATCTGAGGGCCTCAATGCCCCTGCCTTACAAGGGTAAGGTTGTCTACCCCATGCTTGTCAATAGATGTTTCATTCTTTTGCCTTCCCCCACCCCCTGGGCACTGCCCACTTTGGGACAGCATGGCTGAACACCTACTTCTTGGAGGGCTCTCAACTATTTTGGGGATGAAGACAACCCTGGAAGCTCTGACCACCCCACGGATGTCGCTTGTTCTCTGCATGGGCAGACAGGCCATCCTTCCTGCTCTGTTCCCCAACAGTGTTGGATTAGGCAGACATTTTTTTTTTTTGCCTCCTCTGGACTCAGGAAGAATGGATGACAGCTGGTCAGAGGCTGCCCGCCCTGCAATTCACAGAGAAGGGTGGCTGTGGGAAGGTTCAGGAGGCTCGTGTCCCATCTACATACTGCTGGATCCTACTGACGGGTGCCAAAGCAGCCCTAAGTTTAGGACCAAAGGCGACCCCCTGGCTGGGGCTTCACTGTCCCAGACAGGCCTCTTTCTCTCCTGTTCTCTGTTCTGCCTCTTTCCATCTCTCCTTTCCTTCCTTGCATGGCTTCTCTCTCTCTCTCTCTCTCTGGCTCTCTCTCTCTCTCTCTGGCTCTCTCTCTCTCTCTCTCTGGCTCTCTCTCTCTCGCTCTCTGGCTCTCTCTCTCTGGCTCTCTCTCTCTCGCTCTCTCTTGCTCTCTCTCTCTCTCTCTCTCTCTCTCTCTCGCTCTCTCTCTCTCTTGCTCTCTCTCTCTCTGGCTCTCTCTCTGGCTCTCTCTCTCGCTCTCTCTCTCTTGCTCTCTCTCTCTCTCTCTGGCTCTCTCTCTCTCTCTGGCTCTCTCTCTCTCTGGCTCTCTCTCTCTCTCTTGCTCTCTCTCTTTCTCTCTGGCTCTCTCTCTCTCTCGCTCTCTCTCTCTCTCACCTAGGAGGCTCACCAGACAAGAAAAACCTCAACTTGTGGAATGGCAAGGAGATACTTAAGTAGTTGTTTCCTGCTTTTCTCTTGGTTTCTATCTCATTTCTGCCTGCTCCCTGGTGACCCAGAGACCCTCGCCAGTGGTTGGTAGTTAGAAATATGCCAAGAGGACCTCGATATTGGTGGTTCTAATGCCTTAAAGGATGACAGCTGCCACATGGGAGAGAAGTCAGACAGGAGGTGGCAGCGTTAAACAAAGGTGGCTGGTGTTTAACACAGCCAAGTTTCCCTTGGTTTAAAAGGATGTCTATTCCTGGAGCCTCTGAGTCCTTCCAAGGATGGAGTCAGGGAGGGTGCTTCTGTCCTTAACAGATAGGAAAATCTGGGCAAGGGACATGGACTGAGAAGCAGAAGGCACAAGGTTTTCTGGTTGGTTCCTTCCAGGATGGACACAGGCCCCTGATATTCAGCCAGGCCAGCAGCATCTTCCTCATTGGGCTTTTCCCCCAAAACTCTTGGAAGTCACAAACTGGGCCTGGCTTCTGGGAAGGCTGAAACTGGCTCAGGCATTTCCCCTAAATTTGGATTCTTTGGCCCGGCCGGCCTGGGGCGGGGTGGAATAATTTCGATTGCAGAATGAGCTGCCTTGGTGGGGAAGGACTAACTCCGACCCTGGTGATCAACATTCTTGGTCTCCTGTGCCCCTCAGTTGGGGTGGAGGTACCTGTAAGAGCCTCCCAGTTCCCCGCGGATGCCCCATGAGTGGGATATCCTAGTGGGATAGCCATTGGCTGCCCGTGGACTGTTGCTAGGGAATAGCAATCTGGGCCAAAAGGAGTGAGGGCTGCAGAGTAGACCTTTACAGCAGCAGAGGTGGGAGGGCCCCCAGGAATACCTGTCAAGGCTCCTTGTTGTTCTAAAGGGGAAACTGAGAACCAGAACAGAGAATGACATGCTTAAGGTGACATGATAAGTCAAGCAGAGACAGGGTCTGGTATCAGACTCCAAGTCCGCTGTTCTGTCTACAGTCCACTGGTGCCGGGCCTAGTGCTCGACACAGCAGCACGCGCCAGCCCAGGCCCCTCTCCTGCCCTCCCCAGCTTGGCCTGAGTTGGTGCAGAAGAGACACTCACGTTTCCTTAAGGGCCCAGTTTTCAAAGCTGAGGTTCTGTGAGGAAAAGTGATTTGCCCAAGGTCACACAGTTGGCTAACGGCAGAGCCTGGGATAGAACCCCAGCCTCTCTTCCTCCATTAAAGGCCTTCCCTAGGCTGACCTGATGTCCCTGGGCAAGTAGGCTCATGTCCTATTAGAGGACAACTCTAAGTCCCAGAGTCCCGTTCCCACACCCCATCAGTGACGTGCCTCATGTCAGTTTCTATATGGGCCCCTCTTAGGCTACTTATTTCCCTCCCATCTTGCAAGCATGAAAGGTAGTGTCGAAACATCTTCAGGTGACAGGAGCCTGGGGTACTGTCTGGTGGGGTGCAGGCTGGGCAACCGGACACAGGACAGGAGGGCAGGCCCCCCAGGTCTCCTGGCTTTCTTCATTGGCTCTTAGGGACTCAGAAGGTCCACACGGGAAGGGCTCTGCAGGAACTCTTTTCAGAAAGCCTTGGTGGTACTGCCCTCAACTCTTCCTACAGAATCGCACTCTGAAACCCACTATGTTCTAGTAATTCCTGGCTGCCTGCTGCCTTGCTCATGTCCAGAGTGCCAGCTACCTCTTGGGACAGTCTCCAGCAGCCCAGTGGATGAGGGCCTGGGGAAGGAAGCCCTGCTGAGAACCACATCCTGGCATCCTGACATGGCACACGGACTTGGTAGGGGGAGGTCAGTGGAGCCTAGCCTAGGGGAAAAGGGAGCAAGGCCCTGGGGAAGAGGTGATAGGAATAGATGTGTTGGGGTGGGGGAGTGGGTGGCCTGGTATGGCAACTTTTTCTTTTCTCTGGCAATAATGACCTTGAGGTCTAGGAGGTGCTGGGGAAGGAGGGGCAAGTGGGCACCAGGCACTCAGCTTGGCTACTTGGGATTCCATGAGCAGGGCTTTCCCCTAGGGCCCTGGCAAAGTCACCTCTATCCCAACCACAGTTGCCTCGGCTTCTCAAATGGGACAAATTCCCAGTAAACAGGTGGCAAAGGGACTAGGAACTGTTTGCCCCAACAGATTGAGAGATCTTTCTGTGGGCAAATGGGCAGAAGAGGAGGGTGTGTTCAACCAGGAGGGGAAGTGTGCATCACAGCTGTTGACCGATAGAGTGGCCCAGGCTATAGCCTCAGGGACAGGGATTAGATTTGTCTCATTCTGTCCCAAGGCAAGACATTGGGACTGGCAGGCAGCGACAGATATTGATGCAATGTAAATCAGAGCTGTGCAGAGGGTTGAGTTTTTGAGGTAATGAGATCCCCATCCCGGAAGGCATTTGAGCATAGCTTAGGGGTGTTGTTGAGAAGATTCATATATCAGGGCATACTTTGAGATGGCCTTTAGTTTTCTGATAGTGGCCCTCTGCAGTCCTCATTTTAGGACTCAAATCATTGAAGTGGGACAGAAGTCTTGCTTGCCTGATGGGAAGTATAACACAAAACAGGCAAATGTGCACCTGCCTTCTCACCCAATTGTGGTCTTCCCCAGGACCCTCTCTATACCCTGGTACTGCTTTACCTGATTCTTCTTTATCCTATTTATCAAGGATAGGGGTGTGGGAGGTGTTGGCGAACCTCTATGTACAGTGAGAAATATGCTGGGAGAGGGTGGAAATTTGAAACCAGGTGACCTTGGGGAGCTTTTTTCCAAAGATAAGGTCAAGTCTAACTTGCCTTCCTGGCATCCTGACATGGCACATGGACTTGGTTAGGGGAGGGCAGCAGAGCCTAGCCTAAGGGAAAAGGGAGCAAGGCCCCGGGGAAGAGGTGATAGGAATAGATGTGCCTTCCTAGGCCCACCAGCCAGGGCAGAAACCCCTGTCTTTCCAGTCAAGACTGTAGGTGGAAGATACAAGTCCTCCCTGCCTCCCTCTGTCCCCAGTTTTGCCAAATCTGTCAACATCTCCCCCCTCCCCCATAGCATGCTCACACCCGTGCAGCTTGTCCACTGGAGCTAAGCCTGCTGGAAGGGCTGTGGGGTGGATTTCATGTCCATCCTGAACTTGAAGGGGATTGAGGAAGGCGGGTATGGGACCCTTGGCTAGATCATTAAGAAGAGCTGCTATTTACCGTGGCAGTGGCTGGTGCTGACCTAGGTAATCAAGTACTCGGTGGATATCAGCCTACTTCATTCCCAGGGCAACCCCCGCCCAGATGCACTCTTTTCTCATTTTTACACAGGAGGAAACAAAGTTCTGCAGTACTATGTGTACAAACAAGGTGGCACAGCTAGGAAACAGCAGAGCCAAATTCACACTTAGGGCCTGGTGAGGCCAAAGCCATCACATGACACCAGGAGAAGGGACAGTGAACTGGGCTCTTGCAGATCAAGCACTTGGGGGTGGGGGAAGGGTGGCACCATGGACAGCCATATAAAGGCAAAAGTGTTTAGGAGCAGAGGCCACGTTTTCCCACTGGGCCCCTCCTGCCCACCCCTCCATGGCCTGACCTTTGGCCCCACAGCTTGTGCAAACAGCCGCAGCATCTGCTGGCCACCTTCTCTCCTCTCCTGGCTTCTCACTCTGCTCCCTTCCTGCCGAAAGCCTGTGTATCCTCTGCTTCACCTACTGGCCAGTTGTCTCCCCGTCTGTCCCTTTCAGCCTGAGCCACGTTCCAATTTCTTTAGGTTGCCCTCAGCTCAGGAAGACTCTCCTCTGCCTCCATGCTTCTTCTCTTCCTCTCCTCCGCCCCCCACCTTCCCTGCCACATTTCCTCTCCTGGTCCACATCCTCCCTCTCCCCTCACTTTGCAAGACTCACTGCTCCCACACTAAAATGCTCCTAGTGCATGAGACCAGAGCATCCGGGAGTCCTCCCGGGTACTCCATGCT